CTCGAAGTATTTTTTCAAAAAAAAAAAAAAACTATACTCGAAGTAGTCAAACACCGTATATATTGATCACACCAGCCCATGAAGCCCAAAATCACACCGTATCTAAAGTCACTTTCGTTCGTCTATATAGTCTAACCAAAGGATCTAGCCATCTAGGGTTTTAAAATCTATATATATTTAGGTTTTACTCTCTACCAAGAATAAACCGAAGCAGCATGTCTCCGACGACAACGTAATGGTGTCAAAATCCGATAAACGATCTTCATCATATGGAGAAGAAACAAATTACTTTGGTCTGATCCATGTTGATCTCGTCCTCAACAATATCTTGTCGAGATTGCCTGTAAAGTCCATAGCTCAGTTTCGTTGCGTGTCGAAGCTCTGGTCGTCCATGATTCGCCAACCAAATAACAACATGTTGTTCCCGATCAAGCCTCCGGTTACACCGAAACTCCTTTTCGTCTTTACAAATGGAAAAGACTTGTTCTTCATCTCTTCACATCAACCTCAAAATCCGGATCATAACTCGTCTCTTGTAACCTCCTTTCATCACAAGACTCCTAGCAAAAATCTCAAAAGGTTATGTCAACCGGTTCGTGGACTGGTTTGTCGTCAACATATCGAAAAACTCTGTACAACAACGGTGATATATAATCCTTTTACAGGAGAATCTTTAACCTTACCCAAAAGGACAATAAGTGAGACCATGTCATCATATTATTTTGGGTATGATCCAATCGAAAAACAGTTCAAGGTATTAAGTAACACCGCGTTATTTCGCTCACCTAACTCGTCCGCTGAGTATCATGTTTTGACATTAGGGAACGGATATGGAAATCTCTTATGAAGGAATGTTCAATGTCGCACAATTCATTATTCTGTACACGATAACGATAAGGATAACGGGATATGCATCAATGGTGTTTTGTATTATACAGCAAGGACCGTTAAAAGAGAACTTACCATTTGTTGCTTTGATGTTAGATTTGAGAATTTTAGTTTCATTAACAGTGAGCAATACATTGAAACAATATTCGGGAAAAGCTTCACTCTGATTGACTACAAGGGTCAATTAGGTGCTTGTTATTGTAGTATTGCTGATAGTCTTTTCGAGTTGTGGGTTTTAGAGGATTGCGAGAAACATAAATGGTCAACGCGTATCTACCAAATGTCGCTTCCACAAATGTATGGATTACGCTGTGCACACCCTGCAGGAATGATTGGTAGTGGCGAAATTGTCATGTATCCAAGATTTCCAGAAAATCATCGTGGTTTTATACTACAATCTCGAGAAGAACATTATCACAATGGTAAGACTTGAAGTTCCAATACTTGAAGAGCGTGCATATTTTAGAGTTCACGGATTTTCAAACTACGTAGAGGATGTGAAACTTATGCAAGTGTTTAGTTCTTCCAAACTGAAGTAATCACATATCATTGTCTTTTTGAGCTTAATTACTATTTCCTCTATTTAATTATGATTTCAGCTTCGAGATTATACATATATTTAACATTGCTTCCTTGGATCAGATTTTTTCGACTGTCTTAAACCCACGAAGAGAATATGCTCTTTTATTCCTTTTTGCACCTTTCTTGGTATCGACCGTATTTAATTAATCAGATATATATACTAACCAAGTGGATTACACATATGGTGCCTATGATAGAAAGATTAGTCTAATTTATAACAATTTGATAGAGTAATGAATGTTAATTTAACCAAACAAAATGTTACAGAGACAAATTATCTCATTTTTTGTTTGATTAAAAAAAAACATTTAGACGAAAAATAAGATAGTAATAAACATCATCATTTTCATTTCTGTTCACACGCAATGTTTTTTTAACAACATGCATATGTGTTTTATAGATTTGATTCCGAGTGTGGACAAATGCAACAACAAACTCCTTTTTTTTTATTGAAATTATACAAAACTAAACAAATCACTAGACTGCATGTTATAAGTTTTGATATTTTTAGAAACTTGGCCTTTTTGGTTTAGTATATTAAGCCCACATTCATGGTCAAATTCACAAACCCAAGATTATGAGTTAATACAAGTCTATGATATTAATTAATTAGTCCAAGTAACTAAGTGCTAGGATAGTACCCGGGTTATGCGGGCATGAAATGAACATACAAAAATGAAATTTTATATTTGTGTGTATATTCAAATTTGTAATTACTTTTTATTTTGTATAGTAATGTGTTTCACCTATGAATAAAAAAAATATAAACCGAACCGATCGAATCAGAATTCACCAGTTTGAACTAGAACAAAAATATATAATAATTCGAATGGGTACAAAATTTATATATTAAATTATCCAAA